GTGGACTGATTGCCAGTAATATGAAAGTCATAGCTTGATTGTATATTGGTTTTGTTTGTCTTTGTAAGTATTGTCTTACCTCGTTTTGATTTATGAATGTGTTTCACATCCAATGCCACAGGTTTGATCCCCATCCTTGAGAAAGAAAAACTCTTTAGCTGGCAACAAGCCTCAAAATAAGACGCATCATCTGATCACGTTAGGCACGTTAGTTTGTTGATGCCATTTTAATGCAATGGCTAAATGTCTGTTAAATTAAAACACAGAATTATAAATAGTGAGAAGAAACTCAGGCGCTCCTGTTGTTTGAAGTTTTGTTACAGTGTCCATTAGTGTAGACTAACTGTTAGGAAGGTAGCAGGAGCTAACCGCATCCCTCTCTGCAGAGCTGTGAAATATTTATGCTTGGATGCAATTGCTGTCCCCCATGGGTATGGTCCATAATTACCAGGGATGTTTCTCTGGGCAACATTTTTAATAAGCAAAGAGCTGAACACAGCAATAGAAGGAGAAGATGTTGGCACCACACAGCCAGCGTCACAAGAAAATGACTTCAAATCCTCAATCCCAAACCGTTGCATCAGCATTTTGTAGTTCTCCAGCAGTGGGGAAATAAGAGCAGGTTATGTCTGATATAATAACTAAAATTATAACATCTTCATGGAACAAATGTGTGTATGCTGACAAGTAGGGATCAGACATGTTTTATTTAATACCTAAACATGCAATAACGTTTAGTTTTGCCACTTGGGGGCAAGAGAAACAGGTTGACATATTGACATATATCACTTTTAGGTTGATATGGTGAACATGTTTGCAATCAGTTGCTTATTTACACAGTCAGCAGTTACAGAGCAACATTAGTATTCATTTGGAGTTGTGTTTCTGGTCACCTGGTAAATGTAACTCCAATATTCACTCTCTTTTATTTCTCTTTTTGGTCTCTGCCAGTGAAATGTCTGGCTCTTATCTGCTAAATGCACCACTATGTCCATCAGCTAGTCGCTAACTTTGTCTGTTTGCCATTTGGTGCTTTGCACTCCCCTACTACAGCCAAATAGTATGTCATGAAAGCAGTCAGGCTGAACCAAAGCAAAGCAAAAAACACACACCAAAAAATAAATAAATCCATAAAAATAAATAAATAAATCCATCCAGGATGTCCCAAAACCAGATCACAAAATAATTCTCTTTTGCATGTACACTGTACTGTATTTGCAATATGGACTCTTACAAAATGTAAATTATAAAGTAGCACAAAATTATTTGTGTTAAAGTGATAACTAAAACAGACTGTTGACTATTCAGTATAGAATTGTGAAAGAGGAGCAATATTTTATACTGTAAGCGGAGTCAATCATTGCAGCTGCCTGTAGCAGTCATAATTTACCTTCGCTGGGCTTAAGCCATTAGCATTTCCTGTACACACACAGTGTAACATGAGATACAGAGCTGTGTTAGTGGCAGTTGACATATATAGCTATAGTTCTGCTAACTGGCTAAATGGCAAGATCAGTATTACTATAACTTACTAGAAAGAACACGATAGACCTGTTGGTATTGGATTTCTGTACTTATGTAATTGAGCTGAAATGCAATTATGTCCCCCATGCCTGATGTGACTGTGGCTACATTAAACTAAAGAGCACCTTCTGCCTTTCTGCCTCCCTGCCTACATTACAGTGATCCTTTTTTTAAATTTGTGAAAATGGACCGTTCCAGTGATTTATTTAATTATTTTCCTTTTAATTCCTTTTAATAGCTTTCTCACTCACTCCCCCACTCACTCATTCCCTTGTGCCTTTTAATATTTGAATTCTCTACCCAACAGTAGTACATTTCTGTCTTGTTATTTATGAATGCACTTGTCTTGGGATATCTGTGATTTTTCTTACAAACAGTCTGAATTATCTCCATTCTTTTGGCTGTGTAGATATATTCACACATTCCACATACAAAAGCACTTATGTACTACAGTACATATTTGTGATTTTGAAGCTTACTTGGCCTGTGTGTCCACTTGCCTGGAGTTTGAAGATGAGTTTGTTTGTTTGTGTGCGTGTGTGTGAAGACAGCTGCTCTGTGTCCATCAAAAGCAGCTCCACATTCCCTGCACTGTCCTTTGAAGTCAGACTCTATTACACACTTACATACACACAGCTTTTTCTGCATCATTAGTCATCTCTTTCGAACTCTTGTCTATGTGTTACAGTAACACTCATATTGTTTTTATTTTGTACTGTCTACGGAGAGAGGATACAGAAAAGCGTAAAACAAAACATGGCCCTTTTTTTTAGTAATTTAGTTACCATTTTTAATCCGTTTCAGCATATCCCACAGGTTCCACCAAACACATTAAGAGGGTGGTAAGTGTTTCTACTTGAAAGAGCTTTTAATCCTTATCCTACAGGCAATTTGTGCGTTTAAGATTCATTGTTTCATTATTTCTTAAAGGCCTTCACGGTGTGTAGACGACCGTAATAAAAAAAATCCCAGGGGAAATATTCCATAGTTGTCATTCGTTGTCATGATGAGTCATATTTAAAGATCTCAGCTAGCACAAAATGTCAACTATTATGAACTTTAGTTGAAAATGTATCTGTGTTGGCTCTAATAAACCTTGATGTAGATAGTGGTCATCTTTAAGTTGCCCGAATAAAATGTTGTTTCACAGCCAAAAAGTTTAACGGGATATAGTAATAGGAATAGGAACCTTATATATTGTAACATATTGTATTGGTTGGCACAGGCATAGTGGTGTAATGGTTTAGAGACAAACACAAAGTTCATATTAGTTGTAGTTTAGGTCTTTTTGCAGCTACTTTTTAATTTCCATTGATATGTCTGTAGCTTTGATAGTCAGTACTGGTATATTCAAGGAATGTAAAATAGCACAGAAACCTCTCTACCCATGAGTCCTTTGGGTATTATTTGTTTATTAGTAACGGGAAAACAGAAAACCCAGCCCTAATTATCTGAAAACTTGCCCATCTAAATGTAGAGTAAATATAGAGACATGATTGCTATGTATGACTCAGGCCATTTTTTTGTTTTTAACTGGAAAAATACACAGTTTGTGTAGTAGACGTTACATCTGGTCAGTGGTCTTGATGATAGAAATAAAATGTGCCTTTTACCAGAAATGTGAGTCAGAATGTTCTGGATAAGGAAAGAGAAAAAAAATAATAAATCAGAGAAGCTATTAGTATAAATGTGTTTTACCGCAGTTTGTTTTTTAATTTGCATGATGTTGAAAGTTTCGGTATTGGTAATTAGCTTGTTGCTGGAACGCAGGTCAGTACATTCAATACAGGAGTTTGTTTGTTTGTGTTTGTATTTGTGTGTTTGTTTTTTATGTTTCACCCTTTCTCTCCCCGTCCCTCACACTGGCTCCCTCACTCTCTAATCATGCAAGCTGGCATGTCTCCTTTCCCTTGGGATGGCCCAGATCTGACAACAGCTAGGCCAACACCCGGCATGCAGGAAACCCATCCCACTGAGACAACTTAGCTGGCCATGTACTGTGTGTGTGTCTTGTCTCCAGCACTCATTACAAACAGGCCATTTTTTAAAGAGTGAACACTGATTCACAAAGATCCACACATGCATACAATAATGTGTGTCTGATATGTTTTTCCACAATAAAAAGTATATTTTCCACATTAAGTCCTTAAAAGGCATCTATCTGCTATCTATCCCTCAATAAAGATCGAAGACGCTATGAATATGCAAATGTTGTTCATTTGAGTTTTCCTACTGGACACCAAGCTGTTTCCTACCCTGCTGCAGAGTCAGTCCATTCTTCCAAACTATTTTTAATGTCACAAATCATGCTCGTATGCCCCGCCACTTAAAATTAGATTTTCAATCACAGAGAAATTTTCCACTTTCAGCAGATGAATGTGAAAATATCCTTTTAGTGCCAAACTCTGCACATACATCATTCTGCACAGTGAAGGTCAAACATCCAACTAGGACGCAGGATCAGGAAGAAAGCTATAAGACATTTTTGAGTGGAAGGGGACTTTAATATGAGAGTTTACACCATAAGCCTGGGGTCCATGGCTTTAACCTAACTCCTTCCTGGCATTATTATGAAGCGGTGCAGATGGACACTGTTACTGACAACTACACTTGAGCCTTATTTTCTCATTAAACTCATATTGTATTCAGCCCCCACTCTGTCACCAGTATTGATTTTGTCCAATTTTGTAATATCCATCCCCGCTGAAGTGCCCACTTACGGTGCCACAAAATGTTGCTGTAATGGCTTTTCTATGAAATTTGTGCCAGGGGTAGCTTGGCTGCGGGTTCACTCAAGGACAAAGAACAAGTCAATCGTTTTGGATAAGTGTTTCCTTTTATGTCAGATGGATTTTGTTCCGAGAACAGTGTGAAGTGAAAGAGGAGGAGGCTTTGCTTTAAGGCCAAAAAAATGTTGACTCGGTTAAAACTCCTCAACGACGTCTCTTCTTTCTCTCTTGCCTCCCACCTTCTTTTTCTCCGTCTCCTCATTATTCTTCCTTTCTATATACCTACACATCTGTCCGTCTCGCTCTGATGCTTTTCTATCTGAATCTCCTTTCCCACCTTTCTTCCTATCTGTTATGTGCCTCAGTGGTATTTCTATCTATTCAATTCTTTCTTTTCACGCTTTGAATTTGATTCTGTGAAGAGGAAATTGCTTCTAGTAATGACCACAGCAGAGGAGAAGATGACAGTGACCTCTGATTCAAATGTTATAAAACAGCCTGAAAAGTGAAAAGAAAAAGCACCGGATGAAGTGAATTTTGCCAGAAAGCTCTTGAATCTCACAGTTAGTCTGTTTATACATTCTTGAAGGTTGAAAAAGCATGATCGCCTTTACCACTTTATACTGTGTTAACTGTGTTTTACTGCAACTAGGGACACCTTTATTTACATAAACGTTACATTTATTGAAAGCCCTTAAAGTTATTTGTAAGTAAGTAAGACTCATTTGTCGATGACTTCTCCAACAGGTTAAAAACTATGTGCAGGACAGAGAGGAACTCAACCTGATTCATCCTGCCAAAAAACTCCTGCTGTCTTTCCCTGGATGTGTGTGTCTCAGGGAGTCTCGCTGGCTATTGGACACTGCCAGTCCAGCCAGACCAGACAAGATTCCCTGCCTTAATCCCCAGTGTTGTCGTCCTTTTCATCTACCAAGGTTTGTAGCCCTTTTGGTCTGATATAGTTGTTTCCAGCCATGTTAAATAGCTGCAGCTATTATTTGCAAGATTGGCGGTGGACATTTTTCATGATTTTCTGATACTTCCAAATCTAATGAAAATTTTATATAAACGTACTCAATATACTGTCTGTATGATAAAGCATGCATAAATTCCAAACACTACAAAACCTCTGGTGTTTATAACAACCCAAAAGCCATTGCAAAGCTTTGATGTTGCATATTATAGAGGCCAAGCCTTAGGTAGATACTTATGCCAGTTGTAAAGCCAATTGTTTCTACTTATTAACATGATTGAAAGATCAACTGTCTGTTGACAGCAAAGGCAGAGAGATACTTTACGAAAACACTGGACCTGCCATTCATTGTTCAAATTAGGCAATGTTTTTTCTTCCTTGTCTCCACTTTTTATTTATGCCTAGGTTTTACCGTGCTTGTGACCAAAGGACGTCAGTGTGTTCCCTGCTTACTGGAGCACTGCTAGAGGCCACAGCCGCTCTTGGTGCCCGCTCCGCTCTACTTTACCCTTTGCCCCAGGGCCCCAACAGCCACGCTGTGCTGAAAGGTGAGTGTTGTACTGTAGTGTTTGTGTATATAGAAAAGGTTTGGGTTTATTTGTATGTTTGAGTGTACTAAACGTTTGAATGATGTTATAAGCATTAAATTGGATGAAGCGGGGCCTGTATCTGTTGGATTCTGAGAAGAAAAAGGTTCTCACTATTCCCCTGTGGTCTACTGCTCCACTCTTCTTCTTCCTCTCTGCTCTTTTCCCACATGGTTCCTTATCCACAGCGGGTTTTGGGTCGGTAGGAGCCCTTCTGTAGTTGATCCCAGCGGTTGCCCTTTCCCTTTTACGTTTCCCTGTATTTCCTCTGCTGTCCTTTCTCTTTCTCTTTCTTTATACAACTCTCTCCCTCTCCAGTCCATTCTCCAATTTATACACACATCCACACACAATGCTGAAGTGGTGTAAGACATCACAGGGTCTACACACACACACACACACACACACACACACACACACACACACACACACACACACACACACACACACACACACACACAGAGAGACACAGACACACACCAGACACACGTCTTACCGTCTGAAAAGAGGTTATATGCACTTCAAACATGGTTGCGCTGCTCTTCTGAAAAGCTCAGGAGTGATAGCTTGATATTTTGAATTTGTTTGGATGTTTTTTACATAACAAGCACACACATGCGCCTGCTTTTCATTGTACTTAATATACACCACAGCTAGCTCTGGCCTTGAGAAAGGGCCTTTATGAAACAAGAAACAGAACAGATTTTCATTGTGCATATCGTACAGTATGTCACCTCTTTGCCTCTCTCTCGCTCTCTCTTACTCTTACTCTTACACATGACTTCATCATCCAACCAGTCGGGTTGTCGGTCAGTTGTTCAGCTGGTAACTATCTGTCCACCTTTTCTACAATCATGTTACGTATGACTTAAATGTAAGCCGATCCTGACATTAATTTCCACTGGCAGTGGGACAGGGGACAGGCTGTCTCTGGTGAGATCAGGGAGACGCACGCCCACACACAATTCAGCACATAAAAACACAACTTTTTGTGTATGTTTCTCTTTAACTTGCTTCATTATTAATCGTGTGTTAATGAGGAAACTTAAATTTTTGTCAGACAAGCTTTCACAGACAAAAAACATTCACACACACACACACACGCACACAGACGCACGGCACATATCTTCAACATGACACCGTGTTCTGTTCTAATGGGTGTTGCAGGAAACAGAATGGAGCCAGACACGCGCACACATAGCAGCTTAGAAGTCTTGGCAGGACCAGGATTTCATAGACACACACACACACACACACACACACACACACACACACACACACACACACACACACACACACACACACACACATCTCTCACACAGCATGAGAGACTCCCTGTCTAACTTTCTCTGTCTCTCAACCCTGGTGCCAAAAGCTACCCAGATATTGCGCTTGAGCATTCTAAGACTTAGACCCACAGCCACATTTTGTGTTTTTCTTTTTCCGATATGCCATTCACCTCTGTGGTTCACACACAGGGAAACCACCTGTGTGGCAGTGCCATTTTAAATGATTTGACCTTTAGTGTAGGAGGATGCTGTATCTGTCTCAGAGATGATAATGTCCATGTAACAGAGATATATACTGTAGCTTTGCTGCAGAAGTTTTAACTTAACCAAAAGGAAGGAGTGCAATGCTAAGTTGAAAGAATCAAACAAAAAACATTTACTTTTGAGGAAAGAAATACGACTACTCCAACTGACTCAAAACGGCATTTTAAGCTAGGGCATAGGTTTTTAAAAGACAGTGGTTGCAATTTTAATTATCAAATGTCATAAAAGACATTTCATTATTCTGAAGCTTGGGGAAGGTCAGACTTTCGAGTTTGGATAGTGTTAGTGTAGTTATTACTTTCTCACCATTTATGGTATTGTTCCTCTCTTCAGTGTTTCAACATAACAACCTGCTCTGAATCTCTCATGCATTTGTAATAAAGTTTAACTTGTGTAATTCAGTTTAAAATGAACAGGCTTTTTTCATGTAGCAGAACATAAAACTTTGCCAGTACTCTTGAAAAATGAACACTTATATGGAACATTTCTACCTTAACAGACAAAGCGTTTGTGTCTGTTCATTGAGTGTACGACCTAGCGTCAAGGATGCTCCTTATGCCAGGTGAATAAAGAGATGTATCTTTCATGTTTGGTTCAGTTTTCACCCGCTTGTGCTATTTGTTCATCCAGAATTTGTCACAGGGGATGGGATTTGGAGCTTTAGAAACATGTTGTGCCCACCACTATCTAAGGTTTTTTTTTTAAATCCTCTCTGGTGAGGGTCACCTATAGAAAAGCTTTTTTGTTCTGTCCATGCATTTCCTCTCCTTTTTTCATTTTGCCTTCATCCTGCTGGACGAAGATCCTGGATATTTATGTCAATATAAGTCTACAATAAGTGCGCTTATGCCAGAAGTCATTTATAAGAGAAGGTTTTTCGTTAGGATCTTTTTTGTAGTAATCTTATTTGTATTTCCTATGTTCATTTTCCATTCTCAGTGTCTGTGCATTGCATATTTTGAATGGATTGGTACAAAAAAAAGTATTGAAAAGTGTTGATCTCATAGATAAACAGAAAGGATCTCATAATTACAAGATAGAGATCCAGCAATTATGAGTTTGTTTTCCTATAATTATGACATACTAAGTCACAACTATGAGATACTGAGGTCTCCATTTTTGTTTTACTTGGTAAATGCAGTGTGCTGGTGTATATTATCCCTGTTCCTATCCTATCCTGTCCTAATAAGGTATTGATTTTAGATACAGTTAAGTGGTAGCAAAACTTCAGCTGGAAGTACAACTCAGCAAACTCGACCAGTGGCTCTGGCCCAAATGCTTTCAAGGATTACGAGGATAATCGCCTGGCCAGCCTGGGTGTATTCTCGGAGATTTTATGTGTTTGATGAGAGGTGGAATGTTTCTCCACACCTTCTCTACATGCCACATCCACTGTAATGATCTGAAAGCATTTTGCTGGTTTCTCTGATGTATTTGAATGAATTATGTATTTCTGTAGTGTAGCAATTATTTGGTTTTATTAGCAGGTCAGGAGGAATGTTTTGGCGAGGATAAATGGTATTTTACATGTGTCTGGGTCAGTGTGACAGGCTTTTGTTGTGAGGGTAAACTGACACCTATAAAGAGAAATACTGGTATTGGAAAAAATGTCAACTGGGTAAGACAAAGGTAAGGTCAAGGTGGTGTGTGTGTGTGTGTGTGTGTGTGTGTGTGCTGGTGTAGAGATACTGAGGAATAGAGAGGACATAAATCATTGCTGAATATGTCAGTAATTAGAAGCAGTTGTTTTTCTTTTGTGAAGTCTATTGCCTGCCCAGTCCGTGTCAGCTTAAATACTGATGTTTGTGGCTTTCGCAGGTTTAGTTTTCACTAAATGTGTGAAAATGTGTTTTGTCTGTTTTATCTGTTAATTTGTTTCGCTGCAGCATGTAGGTATGTATTCTGTAAAGTGACTTTGTGTGCCACATTTTGGGCGATTCTCTTCCCTCTCTCTGAGTTGGACAGCAAAGTTAACTGCACCTCCTCAGTTGTTGGCTGATGAGCTGGTCTTGCCTTATTGCCTTACAGACGTTAGCTCAGGCTGAAAACGGCTAACGTAGTTAGATTAATCGATAATGCTATAATGATAAATAATTGCTAATTATTTATCATCTAATCATCTAATTGCACTAGAAGAAACTGAGACATCATATTCATTAATTCATTCATTGGGTTATTATTCTCCTTTGCAGTATTGAGCTGCAATTTAGTGGATGTCTCATTTTGGCATTAAATCTTTGTGTCGCAACCTCCTTCACTGTTAAAGTATACACAGTTATAGTTATTTAAGTACAAAGAAAAACTCTACTGCAGACCACTGGGATTTAGTCATATTCATGTGAACTATAAATGGGAGTGGTTTAAGTGCTTTTCTTGACCTCGTTTCCTTTATAGCACAATTTACTGTACTGCCAAAAAGGAAGTAGGTAGGTCAGTAATAGGTTGCCATCCTTCAACTCAATATTGGTGTTTCTTTCTTCTTTTCTTCTTTCTTTCTTTTTTTTTTCTCTTCCTCTCAGTCGTCATTGTACATTGTGTTGCCTGCCAGCATTTAAGACCCATTGACAGGAGATGTGGTGGGGAATCATACTGGAGGGGAAGTCTCAAGGATTTCAAGAGCACATATTGTTTACATGGCCATAACTGCTAAAAATACTAATCAGAACGTTCTTAGACTGGACTGTGACATTTGCTTTTACTTGTTAATTGTCAAAAAATGTCAGTATATACTGTACAAATATGCCATTGTTTATGTATTAACTCTGGTGAAATCAAAGATAATATTTTGACGTAGGTATAATAAAATAACAGCTTGTTTTCTAATTAAGTTGGAGGGAATGTTATATAGACAGATTGCTCATATACTGTAGCTGATTTTATTTTGTGACACCCTTTCTGAACAAAGTTATGCAGTAGCTACCAATTAAGTGAAGGTCACTGCTGAAAATGTTTCAAATGTGTAATAATATCTGCTCTGTGCATACAAGGTAACTTGCTTTATCCAGCATGAATTTATTCTGTACTGTGTAGGGCTACTATTAACAGTTATTTCCTGTATTACTTAATCTGTTAATTATATTTTATAGTTATTGTTTAGTTGATACATTTTCTGTAACATTGTACCCATCACAGTTAACCAGTGCCCAAAGTGTTGTCCTCAAATTGCTTGTCTTGTCAGACCCAACAGTCTTAAACCCAAAGAGATTCACATTGCACTCATATAAAACAGAACAAATCCTCACATTTGAGGTGTTTATCAAAATGAGCCCTTACTGGCATGCAGTATCTGACTAAAGCCATTAAAGACGCTCCGAGCAGTATCGTGCAAACACTGCAAGCAATCACCACCTTACTGTGACATTACCTTGCACGTAATGGGAAATGTCAGCTTGTTTTAAAAAAAAAAAA